CACAGCGGCAAACATTAGCAGCTGAATGAATGGTTGTACAGAAGAGGTCAGCGACATTACACTTGGAGCCATTATTGGACGCCATCTTTCCAACATGTCAGTTCACCACATTTCTGTCTGGCTAGAACCGCCCTGGTCACCTGCAAGGGAAGTGACTGTGACGTGGAGACGTCTGGGAGATTGTTCAGCTGTGAATTGGTAGGACACAGAAGCTGATAGAAAGGGACCTGCACACCCAACCCCAACACCCAACCTGAATGGCAGCAAATCCCACCAGCAATGATCCAGCATCTAATGGAACGCCTCCATGAAAATAACCTTGGTTTTGGAATGATATGTTGGACAGGCTGGTGTCCCCATACTTTTGGCCATACAGTCCATAATCAAGTACAACTTTCTTGTTTTTAAGTAACTTTGAGGGAGTACAGTGCTATTCACCAATGGCGTTACCATGTAAAATAAGTGAGCATATGATACCACGATGACAGCAACTTGCACAACACATTGACTTTTAGAAACATCTAAAAGTATCATAAAAATGTCCTATTTAGGGAAGTGATTTCGGTGCACTTTCTTAATTCCCAGTCAGCATGGGATGTGAGGCAGGATTCGCCCATCACAGCACACACACAGAAACTGTGAGAAGCCAGTCTACCTGAACGGACGGTCAAACGGGGAGAACTCGCAAAGTCCAAACACCGGTAACTGGGAAAGAAATCCCACAAAGGCAGGGACCTCTCTGTCCTCCTCAAAAGAGGTACGACAATATAAAACAGCAACTATTTGACAGAGCCACCTCAATGTTGCCCTTCATTGAGCACTCCAGCCAAATTTTGCTCTGAGAGAAGCACTTGGCATGAAGGCTTGATAGGTAATGAGGGGGTGCTTGTCCTGTTGCAAAAGCAACCCCCACCCCCCCGATCTCCCCTCCAGGCATGTCATTAAGCGCCGGTCGGTAGTCACTCATTACTTGCTTAATTTAGGAAAGTCTTCAGGGTTAGCACACCTGTGTGAAGGCTAAAACCGGACCTGCTAATTAATTGCAAGAGAAAATGCCAAGAGCTCCGTAATTAAGTTTTTGTGCATTAAAAAGCGAAAACCACTGCACAGGTTGTTCCACCGGCGGATTATTCGAAAAGGTTTTAAAAATTTACATTAACAGTTTTTTACGAAATATGACAGAATAAAAAAAAAATCTTCAGAAAATACTTTCATCCATTCCTACCTGGCCGCAATCTCTTGTGTCTAATTAGCAAAATTCTTGAAAATTCCATAAATGCCCTTCATCACAGTAACAGGAAGAAGACAAGGGGAAGGTTTCCAGTTTCGTACTGTTTCATTTCACGTTTTAATTGGCATTCATGGAAATCATTGTTTTATTTTCAAAAAAACAAAAAAGTCTTTTGCTTAACAAAATTACGCTGTGTTTTTGAAAACAAGTGTAGGGGCGTCGAGGTTACATTTGCTTTTTAAATGGGCTGTTACACAAAATTAGCTGTTTGAATGTTAAAAATGCGAGCTTATGTCAGTGCTAATACTTGTAATGACTACGATCACGAACTGGTGGCCAGTGGGTTACAGTTTTAGATTCCCAGTAGTGCTCTTGTACCCCTGGGAAAAACATTTACTTCAGAGAACAACAAAATATACAGCCATGGACTGAATTACAGAGAATTACCCGTGCTTGCCATTTTACAGCCTATCCTGTCCTAGCTAATTAATACAGTTACTCTTATTTTATACAGTCACTCTTATCTACAGCCAAGTGGCAAGTGACTGGAAACGTGAACTATTTAATGGAAATAATTAAAGCAGGAAATTATGTTATCTTAATATGTTTTTCCACAATTATGGCTACAGTCATGTACAATCATATACAGTTCATCCTTCTCTCTTAACAGTCATATTTTGGAAAGGACTTGAAACTTGTCATATTGAATCATATTGAATCTGGAACAAATCTAGTATTAATAACAATAGACGCTTTTATATGTATACAATTATAATGTATTAGAATGATTTTATGACACACTAACAAAAACGGATTGTATTTTTAAGCTGTAAGGAATTTACTATTGTACTGTAAGCAAATGTACAGTATTAGTTGGAGACATCACAGACTTTCAAATATTAATCAGAAAAACACTGAGACCAAAGTTGTGGAGGACAAAGCAGCATCCAGAGACTGGTGCATTAACCTGTTAACCTGATGAACCGTCACCCTTCCTATGAACCGTTATGAAGGGGCATCCGGTGAAATCCCTTCTGTGGTGTAAATTTACCTTATGCATGTTATTAAGTTTGTTTACCAGAGTTGAGAGATGAAAAGGGCATATCATTCTTGCTCTAGTAAGCAAAGCATGGGTTTTTTTAATTTCGCATTAATAGTGGTAAAAAAACTAAGGAAATAGAAATAACTAACTAAAGAAAAACAAATAAGTACATTGTACTGTAAGCAAGGGCATAGCTTTGGGTTGAGCACTGGGGGGGTTTGGTCTCCCCCCATTAAAGGTGGTCCTGGGGGTTGTATTGAGTGGGTTTGATTACTAGGGAGGTTACAACCCCCCGATTATTTATGCCCATGACTGTGAGGCTTGCATGCTTACCCGTAACAGTGGAGGAATATCAATATATTATATATTTTAAGTATCCATCCATTTTCTGTACCTGCTTGTCCTTCTCAGGGTTAGGGGGTCCGGGGGGGTCCAGGGGGGGGTCTGAGGCTTAGCCCAGGATGGAGCACTAACCCAATCATGCTCCATTCACACCTATTGATGATTTGGGAAGTCCAGTTCACCTTACCATGTTTTTGGATGATAGGGGGGAAACTGGAGACCCCAGAGGAAACCAGGGCTGTGGAGTCGGTAGATAAATGCTCCGACTCCGACTCCGACTCCTCAGTTTCTAAATCTTCCGACTCCGACTCCGACTCCCCGACTCCGACTCCTCTGTATGTATATACTATGCTAATGTATTTTCTACATCCATTGAAGGAAAGGAGGGCAACATACATGTCATTTCACCACAGAACTACTGGCTAGGAAGCCAACACTCTACTATAATG